GAGGTTCTTTCAGTAGAAGATTATTTGTACTAATTTTTAGGAAAACTAGATGCTATTTAGATTGGAAAAAGCGTACTTTGGAAGTGTGTTAGTGCATCACAGGCAATCCACATTTAGGTGGGAGCATGGGAAATACTTTTCCCGGTCCCGTACTAACCACTGCATCCCAGCACACCTAGGTATGTGATTGTCTGTGCAAAAGACAAAACTGTACGTACTGTGTTTTACTAGTAAAGCTTGAATCCAATATGTGTACACAAGAGTTTTTTAACAGAAAACTGATTTTTTTCTGTTTTTTTTTTTTTTTTTCCCTGTTGTAGGTATGTGAGGTGTATGCACTCCACAGGGAAACCTTCTACCTAGCTCAAGACTTTTTTGATAGATTCATGTTGACACAAAAGAACATTAACAAGAGCATGCTTCAGCTCATAGGAATTACCTCATTATTCATTGCCTCCAAACTTGAGGTAAGAAGCTCTGTTACAGGCAGGAGGATATTCAGTCTGGAATAACTAAAAAGATGTGATACCATATTTATGTTTTTCTGTCTGAATCTTTTGAACTTGGCAGTGTACACAGAACACTGAAGGTCAGAAGAGGAAATTTTTTTCTCTTCCTTCAGTTGTTCACATGTCAATCTCTTAGAGTGTAGTCTTTGTCCTCCCTTTCCTCAGCAGCAGGGAAGGAGACCACATAAGCTTGAAATGTATGCAAGTGTGCCAGGAGTAGTTCTGTTTTGGTTTGTCTTTTTCCAAATACACAGCAATTGGCAAACAATCTCAGGAATGGGTGTGGGACTTGAACAAAACCAAGCCTAAGTGTCAAACTGCCTGTGCATCAGGCTGATATCCCTCTAAACCCATTCAGTGGAGGTTTTTTTTTCTTTTAAAGATACTGTAGTCAGTGTAGTGATGGTGATGCGTTCCGTTGCACGCTACATCTGTGAGCCCAGAGCATGTCTTTGTATGTCTTCCTTTGTAGGTCATGGTAGGCTAGACGGAGAGGAAAATTTGGGATGTTAAGCTGTTATACTTGGACACACCCCCCCGCCCCTCGCCATCTAGCTGCTGTTGTTCCTAAAGCCAAGGCAGTGTGCTACAAGGGGTTGTCTGTCCCAGGGAAGCGCATGGGGCATCGGGCCATGGGGCCAGCTGGCAGAGAAGCAGTTCTGCCAGCAAGTTCTCTTTTACTAACACACCTACCTGTACATGGCCCCAAATGGCATAATTGGGTTTGCAGATTTCAAAGTGGCCGTGGGATTTTCTTTCATCTTCTTCTAGCATTTTTTTAATCAGTGAGACTTCATCAGCACCGAGTGACACTGCACGTTACCTGTATTGGCCTTTTCCAACACCGCAGTGTGCTGTACAGGAGTTAGGATAGTGTATGCTTTTACATCAAATGGAACAGCTGAGTAAGAAGTGGTATAAATGAAAGGCTGTTCTGATGGCTTGGTCAGCACTTATTTCCCCAAAAGCTAAAAAACTTGAGATAAATCTATCGTGTTTTACAACAGATAACACATAACCTACTTGCTTTTTAGTATCTCCTTATCCTGTAAGTTTCAAGTCAGTTCATATAAGGAGAAAAACACTGTCTAGCATAAGAAATGTTAATAGTCCAGTATGGACTGAGTAGTATTTGCCAGCATCTTCTCAAGCTTTCCTAGAATTGTGAGGCACTCTAATCTTCACTTTTTTCCCTCCCTTTAAAGGAAATCTACCCTCCTAAAATACAGGAATTTGCATATGTCACTGATGGTGCTTGCAGTGAAGATGACATTGTAAGAATGGAAGTTGTTATGTTAAAGGTAATAACTTTGCTGAGTTTGTTAACTTACCTGCTTGGAGAAGGAACGCGTTTAGTACGACCCTCTTTCTGTGGCACAACAAAGCCCTCAGGGTGTGCGCAGTGGACCTCTCAAGGCCTTGGCTGGGGTGACATCCCTGTCTGTTGGAGCAGGACAGGCTTCTCAGGCTTGTGTGAAAGCAAAGGCTCTTGGCAGGCGCAGCCGGCCGCGGGACAGACCAGCAGGCCATCGCTGTGACCTACGGCCCTTGCCGGTGTCCAGGGGCCTCTGGGGGAGGCAGGCAGAGGACTGAACCTGCTCAGTGCTCTGCGTGTTGGAAGGGTCCATCTTTACCACTACAGAGCTCCTCGTGCACTTATTCCTCATCAGTAGACAGCAGCTGCAGGCAGCTAGCCTGAGGGCTCAGAGAAATACTCTGATCTCCCAGCCTCTAACAGAATCACGGAGTGGTAGGGGTTGGAAGGGACCTCTGTGGGTCATCTAGTCCAACCCCCTGCCAAAGCAGGGTCACCTACAGCAGGCTGCACAGGACCTTGTCCAGGCAGGTCTTGAATATCTCCAGAGAAGGAGACTCCACAACCCCTTTGGGCAACCTGTCCCAGTGCTCCATCACCCTCAGAGGGAAGAAGTTCTTCCTCATGTTCAGCTGGAACTTCCTGTGCTTCAGTTTGTGCCTACTGCCCCTTGTCCTGTCGCTGGGCACTACTGAAAAGAGTTTGACCCCATCCTCCTGACACCCACCCTTCAGATATTTATAAGCATATATTAGGTCCCCTCTCAGCCTTCTCCAGGCTGAACAAGCCCAGCTCCCTCAGCCTTTCCTCATAGGACAGATGCTGCAGGCCCCTCATCATCCTCGTAGCCCTCCGCTGGACTCTCTCCAGTAGCTCCTCATCTTTCTTGAACTGAGGAGCCCACAACTGGATGCAGTGCTCCAGATGGGGCCTCACTAGGGCAGAGTAGAGGGGGAAGACACGCAAGATCCACTTGCACAGGCACATGAAAGGGGGTTGAGAGACACATATTTGTGCTGACTGTAATGCAGCCTGTTCAAAAAGCGAGAATGCAATCCAAAATGAGCACTTGTACTTGAAATTGTACATAATCTTTAGTGTCTTCTGAGGATCTGTGCAATAAGCTGAGAAAACTGAGAAGGGGAAGTCAGGGAGAAGGAATCAAGGCACAAAACTGTCCTTGCGTGGTTTAAGGTGCTTAACTGTTTGTTTGATGTTCGCAGGCTTTCAACTGGGAACTCTGTCCAGTGACTGCCGTTGCTTGGCTGAACCTCTATCTGCAAGTGGATGCTCTGAAGGATGTGCCGAAAGTGCTGCTACCTCAGTATTCTCAGGAAAAGTTCATTCAGATCGCACAGGTCGGTAGTAAACTGTATCAGAAAGTGCTTTTTGAGTGACTGAAGCACAACTGAACGTTACGCCCCAAAAGCAATTAAAAAAAATGTTTTTCCTTGTTTCACCTCACCTGTTGCTTTGACAAAGAACGTGCACTTTGACTGCGAGAGAAGTTCACAGTCAGGTTTGAGGAGCAGCACCCACGTGTTTCGTGTTTCCCAGCTCTCATGTATTTTAAGACTTTTCTGTACACTGGACAAAGACAAATCCATCTTTTTTTTCAATCACTGCAGCGTTCTGCAAATAGCAGGCAGTGGCAACGGCTCTGAGAGGAGGGTGGATCATTTAAAGCAGTTAACTGTTCTTACCTGCTTTATTTGTGTTTCTGTGTATTTGCCTAGCAGGCAGGCAGAGGGGCCTGTTGACTAGTTTGGAACTGCTGTGGTTCAGTTTTCCCGGGCACGTGCTGTGTCCAGCCTCAGGGAGCCTCACTGAAGAGCAGCTTTTCACCGAACCGCTAGGTCATATTTCAATTTAGGAAAATACCATCCTGGAGAACTGGTAGGAGCTTTAAGGTGTACTTAAATCTGTGCAAGCAGAGTGTCTTGCATGTTACTGGTAGAAGTGTGAATTGCTTTGCATCGTAGCTCTGTGAGACCCACTTTTAACTGCAGTTTGTGCCAAAAATAAATCGGATGCATGCAATTGATGCTAAAAATCTCTGCTGTGTTACAGAGGAGCAACTGCAGGAGGACTCCCCTATGCACAGCAGTTCCTGAGACACCATTATACTGATGTATTGTCTTGCTCAAGTGTGTAACACTTACTTCCTCCACTCTCTATTTCCTCAGCTCTTAGACCTGTGTATTCTGGATGTGAATTCTTTGGACTTCCAGTACAGAACACTAGCTGCTGCAGCGCTCTACCACTATACCTCCACTGAAGCAGTTCAGAAAGCTTCAGGTGAGAAGCCTCTGTAAAGCCCGGTCTTGCTAGGCAGCGAACTGAAAGCTGTTACCTGCCTGTGGCTG